ACGCGTAGATAAGTCAAAAAGTGCTTATAAGCCAGTTTGACCAGCTTATAAGCTTAGCCAAACACCCTCTATATCTAATAACTTGAAAAATAGAGTAATTAATCTATTATAACAATAGTGTAGTTTAGTACGTTTGTTCTAATCCAAGCTGCATCTATAATTCTATTTATAGAAACCTAGCCAAATATTGCATCCCTGTAAAGTCGCTTGAAGCAAGAAAAATCTAAAATTATCAGGGATCATTAACATACTATTATTGAAGTTCTTTCTTTATTCTGCAATTTCCCATATATTTTGTCACGTTTTCATTTTGCCTATATCATTATTATTAGGTAAATGCCAAAAGCTGGGTACTAGGCTTATCCTATGTATATTTTTAGCTCATCCGTTGTCTTTTTTTATTTCTATAACGCTTGTATTATTTACTGTAAAAAATTCAAGATTCCATAATTCTCTAAAAGACCCAATTTGCCAGGAAAAACCAAAGAAATTACAACCAGAAGCAACAAAAAACCCATGCCAGAGCGATCCTTTCCATCAAATCAAGACTAGCTCAGCCCTTCCAACATCAATCTTTTCTTACTCAAACAAAAAAGGGTATATTATTTTTAGCCCGCGCCAGAAACTATTTATATTCATAGCTAAAAAAGTGTATAAAATTTTTATAATTTTTGTATATAACATACATAATGTATATATATACAAAAATATACATTTTTCGGTTATTATTTTAAGAGTGGGTATACAGTGTCATTTTTTCAACAAAAAATAAACGAGTTTAAGTTTTGTGCATTGATTGAAATAATGTAGGTTTTTACATATAAATAACTTAAATGCAAAACAAAGACTATAGTAACTAATATCTTTATACGTCATTTGTGACTATTTTCTTTCTTTCTCTTTTTTCCGTTTTGAGTTGTTCCCTATTTCTAAGTCATTATATATATGATTTAACTGATTTTGACAATTGTATTTCCTTTTGAAAACTAATTTGTACGTACATGGGGTTTAAACTCTCTGTCATCGTAATTTTTGATCTTTTGAAGATGATAGGATAATTTGTACCATTATTAATTGTGATCATGCCAATTAAGTTTGGTTTGGATTTGATTTGCAACCACATGAAAGCTTCCAAAATGTTATGTTAATATATTTAAAACATTAGGTAAAATCTAAGGGTCCCAGTCATCAGTCACCTTGTCCCAATTCCACGTGATTGTGCAATTCAATATTATGTATAGTTTGATGGGATTTAATTCTCGGATTTTCCAACCTCAAAGATTTTTGGCCTTGGATTCTTTTTCTCTTTTTTCGGTTTTTTCTTTAAAATCAATGTTTGACCATAAAATATTTAATTTTCACTTGAAGATGAATTTTGGAATTTTTTGAAATTTTGAAAAACTTCAATAAGCTGTTTTTCAAAATTTTCACTCAGATTAATCACAAAAATTCAAAAACAACCCAAAATTATATTCATGTCCAAACACAACTCTAATGTTCAAATACCAAAAATTTCACTTTTTTGGAAATTTTACAATTCTTTATGTCCAAACGCCCACTATAGTAGTACTAGGAAAATAATTCGAGATTGCTACATAATATTTAGTACAAGAGGTTTCTTTAACTTAAAAGGCTCATAAGTAGTTGTAGATTCGTACTTGCAAACACGTTAAGTATTTAAACATGTATTAAAATGCAAAATTGAACTGCCAAAAATTGAAAAATGGGAAGGAATTGAAAAAAAAGAAGAAGTTTTGTTTGATTAACATAATCCCTAGGTCCCAAAAGTCCAGCACAAAGTAATCATTCACAAAGGCCAAAGCATTGGTAGTAAGCAAAAAGGAATTCTTTCTGTAACAAAAGAAGAGAAAGCTATTCAAGCAATGTAGTGAAGTAGTTCAGCCTTTTCTTTTTTACACTAAAAAGTGAGTGACAAAAAGAAAAGAAAGCAAATGGCACAGTCCCTTTTCCCCATAGGGTTTTGGTGAAATATTAAAGATTGAATTGAAGAGAGATATTCTAGTATTGTGGGGTTGAACCATAAGATGACAATCATGAATGTGGTGAGGAACAAACTCAAATGGGTTGTTGACACTAGTGCCTTTTTTAAAATCTTAAAACTGTTGAATTTTTTTTTTCTTGTTTATTTATTGAAGTAGGGTTTGGATCTTGCCTCAAAGTTTGTAAAAGGTTTGATTATTGGGTCCCAAAGAGATCTCTTTCCTCCTTGTACATATCTCTCCCAATCCTTGTAGGATGTTGATGAGCTGCCAAAATCATAAATCATAGTAGCATTCATTCTAGTTTTCAATTTTACTGCCTCTTTTTAAGAATTAAATAAACCTATATATAAAGATCGTATCATCATTCAATTGCGGAAGGCTCTTGCTTTTAGTCCTTTTAATTCAAGGACCTTTATAGCCTTAACTAGACAAAGAACTTCTTTCCAATTTTCCTCTAAACTCTTGTTTTCTTTATAGATCTTGTTTAAATTATTACTCCCTCCGGTCCAAAATAAGTGATTTTTTGGCAATTTTTTTTGTGGTCCAAAATAAGTAATTTTTTCAGATTTCTAGAATGAATTAATTATGTTTTTCCTACATTGCCCTCGGAGTAAATAGTGTTGGAATATGTGTTAGGAATATTTGTGTGGTTAATATGGTCAATTTTATTGCTAACTAATGTTAAAAGGTGAATTTATTAATATTTGTGAAATCAACTAAAAAATCACTTATTTTGGACCGGAGGGAGTAGCATGTACTCTCATTATTTCACTTTATATGTAGGACTCTATTTTTTTAGTTTATTCTGAAAAAATAATCATTTTCTAAATCTTTAAACAATTTAATTTAAAGATCCATTTTATCATCAGTGACAAACTTTTATAACCACACAAATATTATTATATGTTTAAAATTATAAGTCTGAAGGCTTATAGCCACATAAATATTATAACATGTTTAAAACTATAAAAAATTTAAATTTCCTTTTTTCCCTTAAATTGAATATCTTGTAAAAGTGGTTCACATTAATTGAAACAACGAGTATATATATAATATAGTATAATCTTTTGAGAGGTTTAGTTTAACACTCACCGTTGAGGGAGAAAGGGCAGTTATATATTCAATCATTAGATTGTACTTTTTACGTTTCATTTTATGTAATTTAGTTTTAAAAATAAATGAATTCCGAATCAATACTAAAAATTGAATGTTAAACCTTCATATATGTTTAAATTTATTTTTAAAAAATATTTTGAAAGGGAAGAAGTAATTATAAAGATGGATCGGAGGTGCTGTGCCCATTCTTGATTCTTGTTGTACGGATGATATTGGGATACAGATTTGTTTATTCCAAGAAGGATACCCATGCTTGGCAAGCTTATTCCTTTGGCATGGTACACACTACACACAATTGTGAGAAATGAACCCCCTCTCCCCCCCTAAGTGGCCAATAATTTTACTATCGCAAAATCTCCAATATGCCTCATGATCATGGCTCTATTTATTCTACCCTACAATGTGCATTGAAGTTTTGGACATATGAACAAGAAAATTAAACCTCTCCTAGTCAAAGTAAAGAAAAAATTCACCCCATTTAATTACTTGCTATTTTCAATGATAGTTGGTGAAATTCTTTCTTTGACATTAAATGACCTTTTACATGAATGCAGAAAGGTCACTGAGACAAGTGATCAGATATAACTTAACATATCATCTTTGGAAATTTTCTCGTCCGGAAACAACTATGCATAAAAAAATATAGCAGTTGTTTGGGAATTGAATTGGAAAGTGCAATAAATTGAAACATGAATGGGGCTAGACAGGGATTGTATTCTCTTGTATTAGTCATGCGTGCTGTTTTCTGATCGGTTTTGTTAAAATGTAGTGTATGGGCCCAAATTTGGACGATCACGACCATTAACGACCACGACCAACGGCGAGATTCTCGCAGTTCAACATGGGTTTGATAAGGGGCGTTAGGAATATTCCTTCGAATATTTCCCGTAATATGCTTTTTAAGATCTAGAAGGGGTCTGTCCCTTATATATAGGGGGATAACAACTTTGTAAGGGGCTCTCTTCTTTTCTCAGACTTTTCTCTAAGACAGAACATCAGTTGTAATATTCTTCTGCAATAAACTCTTAATATATCTAACGCTCCATTACTGATCCTCAGGAGATCAGGAAAGATTATTCATTGCATTCATCTTATATTCTTTTTGTTCTAGAGATTATTATGCTTGTCTAAGATTTACCCCATTATTTTATTTGATTAATTTGCTCAAAAAGGTTGCAATATCTTTTGAGTCAAACAATTTGGCGCCGTCTGTGGGGATTTCTATAGCCAATATTTTAGTTTCATCTGGATCCTTGAAAGAAGTAATCGCCTCTTCATAGCCTTGCAAAGTTCAACAATGGCAGGAAAGGGAGAGACAAGATTAAAGGCAATAGTAGGCGTCACGAACAACCTTCTAGGCTCCATCGATGAAGCCGGTAGGGAAAACGATGAAAACGTAACACCAAGTGCTACACTTGAGGGAGATATCATGTCCACCCCTCACGAAAGCGTGACTATCTCACGCGAGAAGGAAACCTTAACATCCGTAGCAGGAGAAGCACCACCAGCTGTGAAAAGGCTATTAGAGGAATGGTTGACAAACACCTTGAGCAGCATACTCGATAAGCCCACTCAAAGGAATATCGGAGGCATAATATGCGCAGAAACCGCAACTATCGCCGTTGAGCCGGAAACTCCCCTCACAGGTAACACTCACATTGTCGTTGATGCAGATAATGATGCACTCGCAACCATCCTAAAGAAAATGGAAGATATGGAAAACGAGAACAAAACACTTCGGATCAGATGAAGGAACATCAGTAAAAGGTTGATAAGATACCGGGCGCTTTGAAGTTGCTACCAAAACGTGATGTAGGCCGATTCGTCGAGCAGCGGTACAGCGAAGGAGCAACCCCTCACACTATCCCAAAAACATTCAAAATGCCGCCATATTTGAAAGTATACGATGGCACCACGGAACCAAAAGATCATCTAATCCACTATGTCAACGCGGTAAAAGGCAACGATCTGTCAAAAGAACAAGTTCCCTCGGTGTTGTTGAAAAAATTCGGCGAAACTCTGACAGGGGGAGCGCTGACATGGTATTCCCAACTGCCAGCGCGGTCAATATCGACATTCGAAGAAATGGCAGATAAGTTCGTTACCGCTCACGCGAGAGCGAAAAAGGCAGAAGCCAGGGTAAATGACATCTTCGCCGTTAGGCAAACTACGGGCGAAGGACTTCGGGACTTCCTAGCCCGATTCAACAGGGTAAGAATGAGCCTACCAAACGTCTCGGAGGGAATGGCGATAGCAGCCTTCCAAAATGGGTTAAATAGAAGCAGGTCTAAAGCGACCAAGAAATTGCTAAGCAGACTCATGAAATACCCTCCTACCACGTGGGAAGAGATCCATAATGCCTATTGTGCTGAAGTAAGGGCAGATGATGACGATTTAAATGGCCCGCTCCAACGACTGATGTCGGTCCAGACTGAAATAAAGAGAGAACGCCGCAACGATGGTCGAAGGGATCAACCACCTCGTTTCAATCGAGAAAGGCACCAGCCCTACATCCGGCCTCCTCCACGGCATGCAGATGCCACGCCCCGACATGCCGCGCCACACCGAAACGAAAGAGGTATGCCTCCATTGTTATCTGCTCATAACTTTTGCGTTTCTCCTTCAGAAATAGTGTACGCACTGGAAAAGCTCGGTACAAAGGTGTAGTGGCCGCAAAAGATGAAGTCAGATCCGAACACCCGAAGATCAAACTTTCTGTGTGAATTCCACCAGGAAAGGGGACACAAAACTGAAGACTGCATAGGTCTTCGACAAGAAGTGGTGAGAATGCTAAACCAAGGACACTTGAAAGAATTGCTGAGCAATCGAGGACGTGTTAACTTCGCTCGTAGACGTGATCAGCCTCAAGGACCACCAAAACCACCTTCACCAGCCCGTACCATACAAATGATCATTGGCGGTGGCGACGATACAGTAATCAACCACGTGAAATTTACCACCACACACAAACTCAAGCGGACAGTCGCCAATGAACGGTATAATGACCTCGAAGATAATATCATCTTTGATAAGCCGGATACCAACGGTTTGTCTTTCCCTCACTATGATGCTTTAGTTATAACTCTACGTATTGCTGATAACGATGTAAAAAGAATAATGGTGGACGATGGAAGCGGCGCGTGTATTATCCATCCACGGGTCCTCTTACAGATGAGACTCGAGGATAAGATAGTACCGCATTGCATAACACTAACGGGTTTTAACAATACAGTGGAACGGACCTCAGGAGAAATAATGTTGCCCGTTCTAGTAGGAGGGGTCACCTTGGAAACAACGTTTCACGTCATGAACCAAGAAACAGCCTACAACGCTATCATAGGGCGCCCATGGATACACGCCATGCGAGCCGTCCCGTCAAGTTTCTACCAAATAGTCAAATTTCCCACCCCGTGGGGGATATTTAGCATCCGGGGTGAGCCACGCTGTTGACTTATATGAGTCCACCAAACTATAGAGTACCTGCTCCTCTATGAGACTGATACGTAGAGTGCAGTAAAGACTGAATGTAAAGAAGGCTAGAGATTTTCTACGTGGAAAAATCCCACACAAGGGGATCAAAAATCCACGACCTATACCTGTAGGCTTTAAACTCAACTAACTTGTAATCTACCTATTACAAGCCACTTTGCAAACTCCCTTTTGCAAAGACTTCAAACTAACTTGTGATGCACCACCATAAGCCACTCTACAACTCTCCTAGTTACAGAGGATTTAACTTATGACTATTTCTAGTCATAACATAAACTCTAAAGTTTACGAATTTGGTTTGTTCCTAAGATAGCGCTTCTAAGAAAGCAAACTAGGAATTACAATGTAGAACAATTAACAAGATTACAACTCAACTATAGACGTACATAAGACTCGATTAGAAGTTGATCCTTAGTGGAGTTGTCTTCTTGTTCTTGACACACCAGTGACTTCAATGCTAGATGAATTTTGTTATGCATGAGAGAATATCGCTGAATGCACAAAGGAAGTGTGTCTTGCACCAGGTTGTTTTATCACAAAAGATATCACAATGGGTAGTGATGTCAACTCTTGGTGTACTTCTTTCCAGTGAGAAGTGACTGCTGCACAGTCTGCACATCCACTTCTGGACAGTTGTGTTCCAGCTGGATAGTGGGCTTTGTACTTCCTGCCAGGACACACCAACAGACCAGGTCCTAGTTGTGTTCCTCTTCTGTAACAGTTGCCAGATGGTCACTTTCTTCTGTCACGTTCCAGCTGTGTACTTGACTTGTACTTTCTGTCAGAGAACCATGAAGCAGCAGGTCCCTGTTGTGTTCCTCTTTATCTTGATTGCGTACAGTCACTGACTTGCTTATGTCGGAGAACCCTAAAGAGCCAGATCATCAGGCCCCTGTTGTATTTCTGCCTTTGCTGATTTTCAGGCTTCGATTAGTTTGCATGAAATGTATATCCTGTGCGCTAGGTGCTCTATCTGGTTTTTCATGCCTAAGTTTGTTAGATCATCAAAACACAAAATACTGAAAACCCATCAATTTCCCCCTTTTTGATGATGATAAACTTAGGTATGGACACTATACGAACACTTATTTGTTTAGAGACAAAATTACCGAGATGAGAT